AAAATACAAACTAGTCCCAACATAGGCACACCTCCTGCCTCCCTGCATTGCTACAGGGCCATCCCTGCCCCCATTTATCCCCACCCCAACCCTCCAGATTCATTTGATTCAACAATGCATCCTAGGGGGAAATGAAGATGCGGCCAGTGCCTCCCACGTTAAAAAAAATTAGACATCTTTCATCTGCTGCTGCACCCTCTGTTAGTTGTACAACAGGAAACAATACAAATGTTATTTTCAAAAAAAAAGTTGTGAAAACACAAGGTGATGTCTGTTTATCTTCCTGTATCCTCTCCACCCTGATTCTCCTCTCCATTAAATGTCATTGACTTTCCAGTGAACAAGGAATATATTACTCTCCTTTCTGGAATGAAGGGATCATGAAGGACATTTCAAATAATTTTATATGTTCCACTGGAACTCAGCTGAGCCAGAGGAGCTCTGAGTCCACAGGCCAGGGCAGTACCATGGGGTGAGGATACAATACAAGGCAAAACAAACAAACATCATAGTCCCTGTCTTCCAGGAGGTCACACCACCATTCTGGTGTGTGGGTGTGGTTTTTAGACATGGTATCTGAGGGTAAAGGAGGGCAGGTACTATTGCTGGTAGATATGAAACTGGCCACAACTGTGTTACCTTTTGTAAGAATTTCTTAAGCTCTAGCTTAATAGTGAAAAGAGTATTCATATAGTGCTTTAAAGTTAGCAAAGCATTCTTGTTTATTCCTCACAACAACCCTGTTGTATTTATTGAATTTTGTTGCAATAAAATGATAATAACTCTCTGGGAGATAGGTGCTATTATTATCCGTATTCTACAGATGAGAAAACTGAGGCAGAATTTATGTGTCTGAGATCACACACTAGTGAGTGTCTCATGCTACATTTGAATTCAGGTCTTCTTCATTTGAGGTTCGGGGCTCTATCCATTGTGCTGCCTAACTTTGGAGAGAGCAAGCTGACCCAAGAAAGTCTTGAGTGTGTGGAAAAGAGCACAGCTGTTCTCTGCTGGGTAACCCTGGAAGCTTCCCTATAGAAACATGACCCAGTGTGTAAGTGAGGGGTGGGGTAGAAGAGCAGCTGGGGTTTCTGTACCTCATAGGTCATAGGATCATAGCTTTGGAGCTGGAAAGGATTGTAGAGAACACTTAGCCCAACTCCCTCATTTTACAGATGAGAAAAATGAGGACCAGGGTTTAAATGACTTGTCTAAGGTCACACAGCAGCTAATGGTGCAGTGGATGAAGCAATGGGGCCTGAAGTCAGGAAGACTCATCTTCCTGAGTTCAAATTTGGCCTCAGACACTTACTAGCTGTGTGACCCTGAGCAAGTCACTTAACCCCATTTACCTCAGTTTCCTCATCTGTAAAATGAGCTGTAAAACAACTGAACGAGAACAGCAGCAGTCACACAATAGAATTCAAAACCAGGTCTTCTGACTCCAAATTCAGTAATCTTCCTACTGTACCATGTTGCTTCAAGGCTCGTTTTTCCTTAAAAGATAACAAGACCATTCTGGAGACTTACTGGCTCAGAGGACTAAGGTGTAGGCTATTGGCATAGCTTGAAAGCTGGTTTAAAGCCAGCAGAGATGACCACCTCCCTAAGGCTTCTGACTGGTGGAGCAGTCTGGCCAGCAGAGACAAGGAAGCTGTGTCCAACTGAACCAATGCTATATCCTCAATGAGCATCTGCCCCTGCGATGGCTAAGGAAGCCTCCTTTTGCTAACTGCATCCAACTTATCTTGCTTCATTCTATTTTCAAGCCAGATGCACCCTAATGGCCTGGTGCATCAACAAAAGATTCTATTTTCTAATGAGCAGTGTATAAAAAGTACCTTTGATCCTAATTTAATTTGAGACCTAAAGCTTCAAAATTAAAGAACTGACTGGAGAGGGAATGAGTTTAACTTTAAAGAACCTTAGAAAAAGCCTTTAAAAATAGGATTTTGTATTTAACAGCAACACCCATTGGCAAGCTAGAATACTGTAGCTGAGTTTCAGTAGACATTAAAACTATCTGTGGGGGTTTTGTTATTCAGTCATGTCTGACTCATTGTGACCCCTTTTGGGGTTTTCTTGGCAAAGATGCTGGAGTGGTGTGCCATTTCCTTTTACAGCTCCTTTTACAGATGAAGAAACTGAGGCAAACAGAGTTAAGTGACTTGCCCCAGCTAGTAGGTGTCTGAGCCAGGTTTGAACAGGAAGATGAGTCTTCCTGACTCCAGACTCAGCCCTCTACCCATAGCCCCAGCCTATGGGAGTAAGGGTGACTTTTAATTGTATACTGTTCGGGGGTGGGAGAAGAGCCTAGGACTCAGAGCTGAAAGTATTCTTAGAGATCATCTAGTCCAAGCCCATCATTTTACAGGTCAGGAACTAAGTGAGAGAGAGAGAGAGAGAGAGAGAGAGAGAGAGAGAGAGAGACAGAGAGAGAGAGACAGAGAGACAGAGAGAGAGTCACTCTCCCAAAGTCTCCCAGCCAGTAGACAGTAAATGGTTCTTTAGTTAGTAACAACCTTTCCCCTCACACCTTATGTGCTACTTTTTAGTCAGCCTCTAGTATACATTATATCATAGTGTATGTTATAGTTTAATGTGTTTATGTCTTATCTCCCTATTAGACTGTAAGTTCCCTGAGGGGAAATATTAATTTTCATTTTTGCCTTTGTATCCTCAATCATTAAAATGCCTTCTGCAGAGTAGATGGTTATTAATGTTAAAATGGACATTTATCTAATTAGAGCTTAAATAAAATTGCTTTATTTAATAATAATTGACATATTATTATAGTACATATTATATACTATTATAGAGTGAATATTTTAATTTTTGATGCTCATTTATTTGACGCTCGTTGCTTTTGCATCACATTCACTTCTGAATATACTTCTCTTTCTACTCAGTTGGCCATCACTTTGTAACAAAGATGACAGAATGGGGAGTAGAGCTATAATTTCATTTGTATACAGAATTCCCCATGAAGAAATTCCCTCTACCAATGCAGATTAGCACCTTTTCTACAACTTATAGTCTTAGAAGTGCTTTGGGCAACTGAAAGGTGAAGTGACTTGTCCAGGGTTACACATGTGTCTGAGGCAGGACTTCAGCCCAGGTCACCCTGACTCCAAGGGTCAGGTCTCTGTCCACTATGACACTCTGTCTCTCTTACCTATTGTGACAGAGACAAAGGGGGGGGGAAGTCCAGAAAAGCTAATGGATACATGGGCCATATTTGACAGCATCTTCAACATTTCACACCCATAGAACCTCAAGTCTCTAGTGAAAAGAGAAGAGACAGAGAGACAGAGAGACAGAGAGAGAGAGAGAGAGAGAGAGAGAGAGAGAGAGAGAGAGAGACAGAGAGACAGAGAGAGAGAGAGACAGAGAGACACAGAGAGAGAGAGACAGAGACAGACAGACAGACAGATAGACAGAGACAGAGAGACAGAGAGGAAAAGAGAGAGAGAGAGAGAGAAGAGAGAGAGAGAGAGAGAGAGAGAGACAGAGAGAGACAGACAGACAGACAGAGACAGAGAGGAAGAGAGGGGGGGGGGGAGAGATGCATTTTCTTATCTCTTTTCCAGGGCCAAGCTTGGTCATTATAATTACACAGTGTTCTGTGGATCACATTGTTGAAGCCAGACAAAGAACTCTTGGTAATAGAGAGGTAAGTTTAAATTGGATCGAAATAAGAGTCCAGAGGGCTTGGAGAGCCAGCCAAGGAGAGCCCTGGGCTATAAATAGGTTGCTCTGGGGGCCGGGGCAGCAGGATACAGAACAGATGGGATTCAGGCAGGAAACTCCCTTGGGGCATCTGGATTCCTTGCCCCACATTTGCACCCCAGTTTAACTCTCTCTCTCCTTAAATGATTTTCATACACCAAAGGAATGAAGGGAGGAGATGGCTGGTGACCCCAGAACACACCTCTTGAGATGCTATCCTATCAATCAAGCATTTCTAAAGCTCTTACTGTGTGGCTGCCACTGGCTAGGTGCTGGAAAATAAAAGGAAAAAGCAAAAACAGTCCCTGCCTACAAGGAATTTACATTCTAATAAGGAAAATGACATGCATATAAACAGGTATATGCAATATACCTACAGAGTAGCCAGAATCAATAAATCAGTCAAGAAATAAATAAACATTCATTAAGTGCCTGCTAAGTGTCTCGCTGTGAAACAGTTAGAAGATCAGTGTTACTAGAGTGAAGAGTACATGTCAGGGAGTAATGTGTAAGAAGACTGGAAAGGTAGGAGGGGGCGAGGTGATGAAGGGCTTTGAATAACAGAATTACGTATTTGATCCTAGAGGTGATAGGGAGCCATTGGAGTTTAATGAGTAGGAAAGTGACCATGATCAGACTTGAGCTTTAAAAAAAATCACCTTGGTGGCTGAATGGAGGAATGGTGAGACCTGAGGCAGGCAGATCCACTTTAGAGGGGAAAGCCTCCTGCAAAAGATGGGGCTTGAGCTGAAGCTTGAAGGAAGCCAAGCATTCTAAAAGAGCATTCAGGGGAAACACTGAATCTGAGCTTACACAATCCTCCCCCTATGCTCTCTGGCTGACACAGCCTTGGGTTTTTAGGCCTATATGTTAGGCTTAGTAGCATGCAAGCACAGCATTAGCTCACTGCATTTGTTCCACACATAGCAATTGACAAAATAGGCCTCATCCCTTGACCAAGTCAGCCCAACAACATCTGGTTACTGGAAAAGAGTCGTCTAGAAGGTCCTGACCTCTTCGGGAAATGTTTCTAGAAGGTGGCTATGGCGTTAAGCTGAGAATACCCATGTTTGGATCCCAGTATTGTTGCAGATTATTTCAGCATCTCCTGCTCAAGTTTTCCTTTATTAAAGAGATCGATCCATAGTTGATCTTAAATTTCTAAAAGTCGGGACCCTCAAGCTTCAAAAGGACACCATCAGCACCTTCCTCATCTTGTCTTCTCCTAAGGCTTTCCATGCTCTCCCCTCACAGATCTGGCCCAGGGCAGTTCTGCCTGCTCATCCTCATGGAACAGGTGATCTTCTTTCTCATTTGATTCATTTTTTCTCATCCCCATCGCAAGGCATGAAGATCAAAGTGAAAAGCGGTCCCCTAAATACAGTCCCCGGAGATGACTGGCAACCTCGTTTGCTTCTCACTCTCTCCTAGGAATGAGTGTCTCAGAATAACCCTGGCTCTGTACTTCATACTCTACCATGTTCAGCCTGCAAGTGAGAATTTTGGAGAGAAAACACATTATCCATGACAACGGTATGTGTTGCAGATATAGTACAGCTGGTCACAACAACTGTCTGAGTTTATTAGTCCATAAATGTTTCATTCTCACTTATTCCAGCACCTGCCCTTTTCACTCTGGTCAAACTAACTGTTAGTAGAGTCCAGTCCACTCCTCCTGATTTTGTCTTCTGTTGCAATCTACTTTGCCCAGTAAAATGTTCCCCACCCCCTACCCCTAGTCCCACCCCTACCTAATGCCCTGCCTAGCAATCCTCTTAATTCTCCTCATTCTTTTGAAAGCACAAGGGTTTCACGAGGCTGGAGGTGTGCTTTCAGTGGGCAGAGACCTACTGGAGAGGGATGGACTTGAGTTATCAAAACATTAAAAATACACATATACCCCAGGTTAAGAATCCCTGGACTGGGATGGTTAATTTTGATTACTTAGTCTAATTATTCCAAATTTGGTATCATAAGGACCCTGAGTCAAGTAAGACTAAGGTTGTCTTGGCTAACAAGGGTGCTGTTGTTATTCAGTTGTTTCGGTTGGGTCCACCTCTTTGCAATACCATTTGGGGTTTTCTTGGCAGAGATACTGGAGTGGTTTGCCATTTCCTTCTCCTGCTCATTTTACAGATGAGGAAACTGAGGCAGATAGGGTTAAGTGACTTGCCCAGGGTCACGCAGCTAGTAAGTGTCTGAGGCTGGATTTAAACTCAGGTCTTCCTCATTCAAATGATGTCCCTGAGGAAAACCAAAAGTGATCAGAACTGAGTTAATATATATAAAGTGTTTTATAAACCTTAGACTTCTATGTAAATGTTAACTATTATAATTATTATTTGAACTGGGTAGAGTTAACATTGGAAAACTTCTGGGAGAATATTCTGAAGGAATAAGACATGGATTACAGAAAGAATTCATAGTTGTGTGTGTGTGTGTGTGTGTGTGTGTGTGTGTGTGTGTGATGAATCCCTTTGACAGTCTTGTGAAACCAATGGACCACTTTCTCAGGATGTTTTTAAATGCATAAAATATAAAAAGGATTACATACAAAAACTGTGAAGGAATCAAAATAAATTGAAATTGAATTATCAAAACATTAAAAAAGATAATCCTCATACCCCAGGTTAAGAATCCCTGGACTGGGATGGTTAATTTTGATTACTTAGTCTAATCATCTCAAATTTGGTATCATAAGGACCCTGAGTCAAGTAAGACTATGGTTGTCTTGGCTAACGAGGGTGCCATTGTTATTCTGGTTTTTTTGGGTGTGTCTAACTCTTTGCAATCTCATTTGGGGTTTTCTTGGCAAAGAAACTACTGGAGTGGTTTGCCATTTCCTTCTCCAGCTCATTTTACAGATGAGGAAACTGAGGCAAACAGGGTTAAGTGATTTGCCCAAGGTCACTCACACAGCTAGTAAGTGTCTGAGGCCAGATTTGAACTCAGGAAGATGAGTTTTCCCAACACTAGGCCAGAACTCTATGCACTATGGCATCACCCAGTTGTCTACTTAGTGGGCAACAACCCAGTTATTTCCTGCATGACTTTTGGTAAGTCACTTACTTCATGGTCCTTAGTTTCCTCACCAGTAAATGAGGTGGGGAGTGTGTTGTGTGTGTGTGTGTGTGTGTGTTGGGGAAGAGGGGGTTTGAACTAGCCCTTCTAAGACACAACTCTGCCTTGGAATTGGCATCTGATGACTTGGTTTTGAACTTCAGTTCTTCCCCTTTCTCACTGTGTGACACTGGACCAACTTTGTAACCTTGCTGAGCCTCAGACTTCTTCATCTGAAAAATGGGGCTAATGAAGTTTGCACTGAGATGGTGGAGAGGATAAAAGTGAAATAATGTATTTGGTAAACATTAAAGTAGTATTATGAATGTAAGTGATTATTACCAATATCATTATGTGGCTCCTGTGTGAGTTAGGGTAGACACGACCTCTCTGAGCTCTACTTTCCTCAGCTACAAAATGAAGGGTTTAGATTAAATAATCTCCAAGGTCCCTTCTAGCTTTAAAACTCTGTTGAAACTGCAATTTCTTTCCAATGCTTTCCAAGCAGGGAGAGGAAGAGAGCACTTCAGGTGAGAGCAAAGGAATGAGCTAAAGCACAGAGAAAGAAAGAGCAAATTGTTCTCAGGAGATATTAAAATTATTAGCTTGGTTGGGACAGAAAGTCCTTGGAGGGGAGCTGAACACAGAGTTTTAAAGTGTCCACTCCCTTTATTTTAAATCTCAGAAAAGTTAAATGCCTTGCGTATATCACATAGCTAGTCAGTGAGAGAGCTGGTAAAAAGGATGATTTTAAATTTTTTTTGGTTCAAGCTTATGATTTCATTGGTGGGAATTTGGGAAAGACTTGAAATGTGTCATGGAGGTAGAAAGGGATGGGAGTGTGTGTATAGGAAGAGGAAGTCTATGTAGGGAAAGTGATGACTAGTAGAAAATGAAGATTATGATAAAGATGAATAACAATGATATCTTATATAAGGCTTAAAGTATACTATACAAAGTTCTTTAATGATAGCTAGCATTAACATAGTGGCTTAAGGTTTGCAAAGTACTTTGCAAATTTTATCTTGTTTTTATCTTCAAAATAACTCTGGGAGCTAGGTGTTATTATTTTCCCCATTTTGTAAATGAGGAAATTAGGCACAGAGGTTAAGTGACTTGCCCAAGGTCACATAGCTAGAAGTTATCTGTGGCTGGATTTGAACTCAGGATTTCCTGACTCCAGGTCCAGCACACTACCCCTGACACTACCTAGCTGTCTTTAGGTTTGCAAAGTGCTTGACAAATATTTCATCTGATTCTCATAATAACCCTTCAAGGTAAGTACTATTATAGCAATCATTCTGTAGATGAGGAAACTGAGGTTAAGTGACTTGCCCAGGGTCTACATGGTTTAGAATGCCAGGTCTCTCTTGACTTCAAGTGAAGTGACCCTTCTAATATAACAAAGAAATAAGAGGAAAAAGAAAAGTCCACCTCATCTGTCACCCCTTTCTTTCTACAAACTAGGGCTGGACCCCCCAAGTGTTGCTAAGAACCTGCAAACACCTGACAGAGGCCCAATATCTGCTTGACAGAACTTTGGCCAGGAGGCCTACACAACTCCCTCAATCAGAAAGCAAGGTATACATGCAGGAAAACTCTTCAGGAAACATAGAGGACTCTAAGGTTTCAAATTCAATCTGAAATTCTGGGCCGAATTAACTGTACAAATCCCCTATCAATAAGTGCAGTGGAGGGAGGGTACCCTGATAATCTACCTTTAAACCTGATCATCTAGTCTCATCACTTTAGGGCACAGGATTATGGATCAAGGGTGAAGAGAAGGAAGGGGAATGGAGTAAGTACCTACTGTGTGCCAAATACTGTACTAAGTGCTTTACAAATATTATCTCATTTCATAATTAGATTAAGAATTGGAAGGGACCTTATAGGCATTTCAGTTAACCACCTTATTTAACAGATGAGGAAATGAGGTCTAGGAGGCTAGGTGGTTTGCCCTGTGTCATACAAGTGCTTGAAAAAGGTGATTTGACTCCAAATCCAGTATTTTACTTGTTCGGTCATTTTTAGTCATGTCTGACTTTGTGACCCCATTTGGGGTTTTCTTGGCAAAGATTTGCCATTTCCTTCTCCAGCTCATTTTATAGATGAGGAAACTGAGGCAAACAGAGTTAAGTGACTTGCCCAGGGTCACAGAGCTAGTAAGCATCTGAGGCCAGATTTGAATTCAGGAAGATGAGTCTTCCTGATTCTAAGCCTAGTGTTCTATTCGTTGTGCCACCTACCTGCCCCAAAGCATGTATAAAAGGATACTATAATCTAGCAGTGCCATGAACATAGTAAGCAGTAAATAAATGTTTGTTGAATTGAACGTCCCTCACAATTGGTCCCCTATTACCTACAAAATACAGTTCCTTTGTCTAGTATTCAAGGAACTGTCGAGAGGCAGTGTGGTGAAGTGGCTAGGGTACCAGCCTGGGAATCAGGAAGACCTTGAAGGTTGGTAAGGAAAACTAAGGACAGAAAAAAGGATGAGTTTTGAAAATAAGCTAAATCGAGAGAAAAAATTGGAACAAGGAAGCGATAGGACCTTTGTTGGGGTGGACTGGATAATGATAACTGATAATAGTTAGAAAATAGAAATATCACAAGATCCCAAAAGTTTATCCTGATTTTAAAAAAAAGGGAAGAGAACTGAGAGTATAAGGCATATAGACCAGTGAGATTGATTTCAAACACTGGGAAAATGTCTTTCTTTCTTCCCTTCTTTTCTTTCTTTATTTTCTCTTTTCCTTCCTTCCTTCCTTCCTTCCTTCCTTCCTTCCTTCCTTCCTTCCTTCCTTCCTCTTTCTTTCCTCTCTCTCTCTCTCTCTCTCTCTCTCTCTCTCTCTCTCTCTCTCTCTCCGGCTAGATTTGAACTCAGGTCCTCCTGACTCCAGGGCAAGAGCTCTATCTGCTGTGTCACTAGCTGCTCCTACAGTAATTTCTTTTGAAGAGATTTTTGGTGAGCATATGGAAAGGACAGCCTGACTTCATTAAGAACATGTCATGCCAGACTAACCTGATTTCTTTTTTTTTTTTTACAGGATTAATAAACCGGAAGATGAGGACAATGTCAATATAGTTGACCTAGATTTTGGCAAAGTTTTCGATAAAGTATTTCATGCCATTCTTGTGGAGAAGATGAGAAGAGGTATGCTAAATGATAATAAAAATAGACGAGTTCAGAACTGGTCGGATGGCCAGATTCACACAGTAGTTTTTAATGGTTTGTGCCAAGTTGACAGAAGGTCTCCAGAGGGTGCCCCAGGTACTACACTTGTTTCTGTGCTGTTTAATACCAGTGACTTAGATAAAAGCATAGACAGCATATGCATGAAAGGTGCACATGTCACAAAGCTAGGAGGGTACACATTGTATGTGTCAGGATCCCAAAAGATTTACAGTAACGATGTGAATTAAATAGCACGGGGTTGTGACTTGCCCAGGGTCACACAGCTAGCAGATGTCTGAGGCCAAATTTGAACTTGTGAAGATTAGTCTTCCTGATCCCAAGCCCAGCACTATGTGCACTATATAGGCACTCAATAAATTCTTATTCCCTTCTCTCTTTCTGTATGAAAAGAGGAGCTTATTATACAATGAGGGATCTAGAATGCCATCGAATCCAACTTCCTCATTTTTTCAGATGGAGAAATTTAGCCTTAGAGAGTTTGAGGTGGCCAAGATCACACAGGCAATACAGGGCTTCTTTTGAAACTGGTTCAAGATTTGAAAGGCGGCATGGCATTGTGGACATAGTACTGGTCTTGGAGTGCAGAAGTTGAACACTTCCTAGTTATGAGTTTTTAGACCAGTTACAACCTCTTTGAGCCTGATACTTCATTTGTAAAATGGCAGCAGGTTCACCTGTAGTATACGCCTGTCAGGGCTGTTGGGAGGCTCCGATAAGGTAGTGTATATAAAGTGCTTTGACAACTTTAAAGCACATAGTTAATGATTACTATTTTTACTATACTGCCTCATATATAGTAAGCATTTAATAAATGCTCATTTATTCAATCATTCATTCCTTCATTCTTATATTTGTCATTTTAGCCCCATGATAAAGACATATTTTACTTGTAAAAAAATAGTATAGTGGTAATAGCACTCCCAATGTGAATTGGGAGAAGGTCAGCACCACATTGAGACTTTACTTCTACCTCTGCATCTGGGCCAGGGCTTCCCATTGCCCAACATTTCAACTTTCAGGAAGTCCCAGACAAAATCTTATCAGTTATCAACAATTTAGAAGAAGTCAGAACTGGTTAGCTGCACAGTTAGTTAAATAAGGCAAAGCTTAATTATTTTAATCTGTGGATAAAATGTACATGGAAGAATATCTTCTTTGCTTTTCTTTTCCACGAGCCCTTATTGGCAGCTAGATGGTGCAGGGGATAGAGTGCTGGGCCTGGACTCAGGCAGTCCTGCCTTAGACACTTACTAGGTGTGTGACCCTAGGCAAGTCACCTAACTTCTACTTGCATCAGGTTCCTCATCTGTAAAATGGGGATAATAAAAGCGCCCACCTCTCAGTGTTGTTGTGAAGATCAAATGAGATAATAATTAAAAGCATCCAGAACCGTGCCTGGCACATAGTAAGAGCTAGCTAAATGTTAGTTATCTCTGTCATTGTCATCACTGTCATCATCACCACCACCACCACCACCACCATCATCATCATCATCATCATCATCCCTGGACTTGGCATTACAAGCTTTCTGAAAGTAATATGGTTATCTAGATTTTAAAAAGTATCGACCGCATATGACTCCTAACATCTTTCAGTTAACTTATTTCTATGGCCTCTTCAACTAGGAGGTTCCTTTCGGCACTCTGAAGGACTCCCTGTTGCTGTGTCTTAGAACAGACATCAAGAAGTTATTTTTTCCTCTTCCAATTTTCATAGTATTTTGTCTGGATTTCTCGTATTTCCTCTGTCTTTCACTACACTTAGTTCCACACATGACATGTATTCCTTGGAGACTATAAGCTCCTTGAGGGTAGGGATTGGGCCACCTCTCTTGTTTGCATATTCAGCACAGCATTTTGTTAAAATGCTAAAATGGCAGCATTTTAGCTGAGACTTGAAAGAAACTAGGAATTCTAAGAGGTGGAGGTAAGGATTAAGGGCTGACTTCTGAAGGTGGTAGGTAGATCCATCCGAAGAACATAATATTGGGAACAGCTAGGTGGTGCAGTAGATAGAGCTTTGGCCTTAAACTCAGGAGGACCTGAGTTCAAATCTGGGCTCAGACACGTGACACTTACTAGCTGTGTGACCCTGGGCAAGTCAATTAAACCCAATTGGCTCACCAAAAAAAGAAAAGAACATAATATCTCTAACCGCAGATGGATGAACACATGGACACATACATAGAGTCATTATTGTGTTAACTATTATAATTTGCAATTTTTTTTGCATTTGCTTAGCATCAATAAGAATAAACCAGTTTCTGTGACAAAATAGCACTGAAAGTTGTAAAATTCCTTAGCACCTCTCTTCCCCATGATCTAGAGGCACTATGGTAAAATGGATAGTGTCACTCTTGGAGTCAGGAAGACCTGGGCTCAACTTCCATCCCTGACACATATTGGCTATGTGATTTGGGACAAATCACTTCCTGTCTCAGTGCCCCAACCAATTTTCTAAAATTAAGTTGCAGGGCAGGCACCAATCTTCATTAATAGAGGGAGTCCCTTCATTGGAAGTTCACTGTACCAAAGAAATCACAGGTAGAGTTAAAAAAAAACCCCAATGATATCTACTTAAAGATGTTGAATGTATAAAAAATACTTGTGGTATTCTGAAGTCCATTTTTGATGCCTATTTGTAGTTTTGTGAAAACACCTAGACCACACGTAGGGCAGCTAGGTGTTGCAGTGAATAGAGTACCATGCCTGGTGTCAGGAAGACTCATCTTCTTGAGTTCAAATCTGACCTCAGACATTTACTAGTTGTGTGACCTTCTGCAAATCACTTAACCCTGTTTGCCTCATTTTCCTCATCTGTAAAATGAGCAGGAGAAGGAAACGGCAAACCACTCTAGTATCTTTGCCAAGAAAACTCCAAATGGGGTCATGAAGAGTTGGACATGACTGAACAACAACAATAACAACAACATTAGACCACACATAAAAAGTCAATCACTTATTAAATATTAGCTAGTATTTGTTAAGCACTCCTATTATGTTGGGTGCTAAGGAGCTCAAATAGTCCTATAAGAATGGGAACTTTAGGGGCAGCTAGGTGGTGCAGTAGATAGAGCTCTGGCCTTGGAGTCAGAAAGACTTGAGTTCAAATCCAGCCTCAGACACATGATACTCACTAGCTGTGTGATCCTGGGCAACTCACTTGACCCCAATTGCCTCAGCAAAAAAAGGGGGGGGGACTTTATGTTTATCATCTCTAGATTTGCTATGCCTAATGTAAGTCTCTTATAGTTAGTAGGCATTTTATATATTTGCTGATGATAATAATGATGCTGATATTTTAAAAAGTAAGAACTTTATGAAAATCGTCATGGGAGATTTGAAATGGCAGACACAAAATTCTGGGATGAATACAAAACAGGTACAGCATTAGAGTAGGAGGAGAGGTCTGGCATGAATGTTGTTGTAGAGGATGGAACACAAAGCAGCATTTTCCTGTACATATTTGGATTTGAGAGGGAATGTGGTTTGGTCAATGACATAATCAAGTGGCTGCAGGTTTCCTTGGTGCAGAAAACACTAGAGTAGCATTTTATTCCCTGAAAACCTTCTCTGAAATACCTCAGGTTGAAGTCAGTCCCTCCCTAGCTGAAGTTCCAATTAAAGAAGAGGTTTTGAATGCCATTAAGCTCCTTTTGTGTGGCAAAGCACCTGGTGCTGATTCTATTCCAGCTGAGATTTACAAGGCAAGAGGGTTCACTTCTCATACAGAAGCTGACTGAGATCTTCTGGGTTATATGGCAAGAGGAGATTATTATCCCCATCCCTGGAGTTCAAGGATACCTCTATAAAGGTAAAAGAAATAGATTATCCTGTGACAATCACAGGAGGGGTCTCTTTCTTGCTGGTAAGATTTTTGCCAGATTCCTCCTTAATAGCCTGATCCTTCACCTGGAAGATGGTCATCTACCCAAGAGCCAGTGTGGCTTCCGAAAGGGCCAAGGAATGATCAACATGGTGTTTGCTGCCCAACTCCAGGAGAAATTCCAGCAGCAACACGAGGTTTGTACACAACGTTCATCGATCTGGCCAAGCCCTTTGCTACTGCCAGTCATGAAGGCTTGTGAAAGATCATGGCAAAATTTGGTTGCCTAGAGAAGTTCATCAGTATTGTACAAGAAAGGATCATAAGATTACAGATTTAGACCAGAAAGGGACCTTTGAGGTCATCGATCCAATCCTCTCATTCTACAGATGGAGAAACTGAGGGTCAGGTTAAAAAAAATCCACTCAAGGTTACATAGGGATGAAGTGACCAAGCCAGGATTTGAACCCGGCTTCCCTGACTCCAAATCTGCAGTGAGATCAAGATAGTTAGTCATTTATTTTTGGTATGACTTTGAATGAAAAAGAATGAAGGGCAAGTCAGTGAGCGGTCAGGTCAAGTGGCCACATCTGACATACCAAATGTCTGGAGAGAGTCTTTGCCTAAGGGATGGGATCGCATTCCACATGTTAGTGGGGTGAAATTTGTAATCAGATCTTCTGACCAAGCAACTGCTCTCTAACTTTAAACTTGTAATTTAATAGAATGTAAGAATGGCTGGCCCTGAAGTGACAAGTCATCATCTTCCCTCCTGCAGAAATCAGACGGCAACAAACAGGCAGCGGGTTGGCAGGCCCACTCGATGCCTCCAAGGCTCCGCAGGGGGCTGGAGAGAACATGCCTGTGATGTGATCCTCATGGAGGTAGTAGACTTCAAACAGCTGAGAGAGGATAGAGGGCAGTCTGGAAATACTTCAGGACATAGCAGAGAAATTCCTAGCCACTGTAATTTCTGAGGCTTTTCTGAACAATTCCAACTCCCTTAGTTTCTAATATCTTGCCTCTCCAACTACCTTGTACATTCTCACATACGTAAATCTTATCTCCCCAAATGGAATGCAAGCTCCCAGAGGGCAGGAGATGTTTTATTTTTGTCCTTTTATCTCCAAGGT